GATAAATGCGGGATACAATCGATGTTAGTACTGATTATAGAAATGGATTTACTTACATGAGATGTTCATGGAAAAATAATATTGAGACCGTATACGTAATGTACCTAATAAAACTTTTATATGCTTTATCTGTTTAGTGTTTATTATCTGTATTTCGGTAAATAATTAGTGTTGAAATACTTTGTTTTAAAGTCATCATGTCGGGGTCGCTATTATCACGTAATAAAATGAAAAGAAACCCAAACTAAAACTAAAATAAGCAATTTGTAATTATTTGTAAGTTCGGTATATTTATGGGTATACGTAAAACTGATAAGGAAGACGTATTATTTTTGGTTGGGTGGTGATGACCCCAACAAAATGGCATCAATTCGTGTTCGGCCAAGGGTTCGCCGCAAAACGGCGGCCATTCAAAACTGTATTATCTGAAGTCGAACATTATTTCGGATCCTGAAGCTTATATAAAAAGCGGTGAGCTCCTGCCATGGTCCCCGGCGGCCGCTTAGCCTCGGAAGGTTCGGGGAAAATAAGGAAATCGTCCCTCATTTATATTGAACGAAAACCTTCAGCTTTTTACCCTTATGTACAAAACCCCGTAAGTTGTGGTTGCTCTTGTATTTTCCTTTAAAATTGGTTCTGAGTTCGTAACTAGTAACTGTTATGAAACCTTGTTAATATGATTTTAATATAATATGTACACCTATATAGAGAAGTCCAAAAAGGACATGGTACTTTTCATCCTAGTTAAAAGATTGAAGGATACCTGATTTAATTGCTTGCGTTCTGTTATACCTAGTACACAAAACATGAGATGTTTACATAAAGGCTCAAATGTTAGTGGCAAACATTACAAAATTGTGTTTGTTTCACAGAATCTTACCATGGGGCTCGTGGCTACGTGGTAACCGAGTAAGTTAACACTTCGCAAAGTTAAGCAATACAAGGAAGGTCAGGCTATGGATGGGTGATCATTGAGACTCCTCCATGCCTCGTAGAGCACGTTAAGCCGTCATTCCTGGTTGCAATACGAACATTAATAATAATAATAATGTTAAATTAATAATAATAATAATAATGTTAAATTTGCATGCTATCTTTATGGCTAAATGGGCCTGTTCGCACTATATTGAACCTTTAATACCACAACATGTACCACCCCATTTATAGCAAATATATAATTTGAATTTGAATTTGGGTCATAAAGGTCTGATGGCCATCGCTGGTAGTTCAGCCGCATCGTAGTTGACTTAAAGCCGACCCCAACTTAGTGTAGGCAAGAGGACGAGGAAGTTTTTCAAAATTTTGCAAAAGAATCAAGAGCTTTCATCATGATCAATCGACATCATTACCTACGTACTGGATTCATCTCTCCATTTAACCTCTTTCCTATTTCTTGCCAATGGTGGTAAACCCAATTGCATTCTCTACCTTTACTTCGTCATTAAAATAATTATAATTCTCTGTTTTGTTTTATGTCTCAGTACCTGTCTAGAAATAATCAATGCCTAACATTAACTAAACCTTAGCATCCTAGAATAAAGTCGTTATGTCGTTCTGAAACCACATCTAATAAAACAAAACCAGTGTAGATATAAAACCACGCTGATTAAGAATCGGCCGATTACTATTTCAAAGGCTGGGATGTATCTTCAAATGCTTCTGCACGCCTCCTATAACTTCTAAGAAGACTTTCTTTACCAATCACAAATGGTATCTAGTATTATAACTTATTCGATAACTTCCGCTGTATACCTAGAACTTCAACGGTATGTTTCCGTCACAGATTAGGTGTGTTATAAAATTAGCAATTTTGCTTTGCGTACAAATATAATATGGTCGATGCTCGTAAACCACCCGCGATGGATTAAGACATTAGGTACGAGCCGCCTTTAGTCGGGTGTATATATAGCCACAAGCCGGTGTTACAAAGGGATCTGTAGTGTTTAAATTCCGTGGCTAAAGCATGTTCAAATGCCCCATTCAATTTTATATACTTTTGATATATACTTCCTGTGGTCGTTTATTTAAAGCTGTGCACTTAGCTTTTTGTTCGATTTTGGAGCTGGAGTTTCACTCTAAACGTGTTTGTTCCATTCTGGTAAGTTGCCAAACCCCATTAGGCCGTTTTCACTCGCTAAAAAGCATTCGAGCGTTCAATAGTAAATTTTCGTTTGAAAGGTAAAATAAAGGTGAACTTTAAACTGTTGCTGATTAGAAGTAAATATTATTTAATAATGATACAAACTTAATAATATAACAACATTTTAATTTTTTAGTTTAAAATTTTTGAACTCAACAGCCATTTTCAGTGTATAATTGAAGTTAACCAAGAAAAAGAGAGGTGAAATACGAGTACTGAAAATGTTCAAAAACAATAAAAAAAAAAAAAAAAATCTTTATTTTGGAACTGATAACAAACGAATTTACAAAAAAATGAAGTCGATAGTGACTGCAGTAGTTCAAAACTGTGGCGCAGTCACTAACGCCCACATCCTGGAGACATCGACATTAGTCCCAGCAATAGCTAAATGATCTAGTTGTGATTTAAGTAATATACATACAAAATACTATATACTGCTTCATCATGCAGTGAAGCGGTAGACTGTAAGCCAATTACATAAGAACAAGATTTCTTGTTTTTGTCTGTAAGTGTGTTGTGTGTGGGGGGAGGGAGGGGGCTGTGTGTGTAGAGGGGAGGTGGGGGCTGTGTGTGTGGAGGGGAGGTGTGGGTGTGCGTGTTTGTGTGTGCGTACGTGTGTGTGACAAGCTTATATATGTAGTTGATATTTTATTATTATTTTTATCATTTACCACGATGACATGAGAAATGATTCGGTCTCATTGTATGTTAGGCCAAACAGCCATTTTTTAACACGTTTTTTACAGCGTATAGCCGTGTCAGGGTAAATATTTAAGTTTTTATTGACCCTATTGTAGAAAGAAGGTGCGAAATAATAGAAATGCCGTTTCGCCAGTTTTAATCTACATTTTTCTGTTGAACACACCCTATCAATTCTACGTTTGTTTGAATTGTCATCAAAGGGAACGTTAGTATGTTGCCTCAAAATAACATTAAGCAAGAATAACTTTCTGACTGTAAGAATTTGTAAGTCACCGTATAACTGATAGGTAGGAAACCATATCGGCTTAAAAGTCATCACTTTTAAGACACCCCTATGTGCTCTTTCTAGACTCAGAAATTTAACTTTACCAGCACAACCCCAAGCGGTTATACAATAACCTGTTATGGATTGTACAAGAGCGAAAAAAACTATTTTGAGTATCTGAAGATCAAGAAGCGACCGTAGATTTTTAAAGATATACATACATTTTCTAACTCTGGCAGAGGTCACCTTAATGTGCTCCTTCCAGGATAGACGATCATCAATCCAAACCCCCAGGTACTTAATAGTGGGTACCTCGGTAATCTGGAAACAGTTACAGTTGGAGAACGCGTTATTACACGTATTTGAATGAGAGATTAAATTAAAAGATGTATCGGGCAAGGTTGTTATGCTTGATTTAAAGGTCATAAATTTAGTCTTTTCAACGTTGAGCGTTAAGAGGTTACGAGCAAGCCAATGGGTTACAGCAGATAACGCTGTCTCGGCATTTAATTTAGCGTGCGTCCAGTCTGTACCATTTACAAGTAAAACCGTGTCATCGGCGTAAGTTATGATCTTACAGTGTGGTAGGGCCATTTTGCAAAGATCATTTATATAAATAAGAAAAAGTGTTGAAAAAAAATAATAAAATGACTGTTTTTTTTTTAACTAGGCCTATAAAATACAAAATTATAAATGGTTCATATTCATTACAAAGTTCATGTAGATAGTTTTAAAATACTCATTATCGTATTTATCTAGCAGTATTAAGTAGGTCGCTACTTAATATTTCATCGAAGCAAAAATAATGTTTGAAGAAGGCTATGCAGAAATTAAGTTTTAAATAGTAAATATCTCTAATATAAAATACGTACATATCTGGTGGCACGGTGAAGACGAGCCAAGCGAAGGGTGTAGAGAAGCTTAGCTCTAAATGAGATCTGATAACTTTTTGACAGTGCGAGCCATATGGTCTGGTCTTGGCAACATTTTACATGAAAATGTTTTTAGTAGGATATTTATATCTAAATTTTTATTTTATTTTACATTTCAATCTTATAGTTTAAACTCTTTGATTAAATGTATGTCATGTCATTAGACATGGCAAAGTCCAATTCAAAGCTTTACGGTGATTAGGATTTTTGTACCAATTGTAAAAAGATAATATATTCTGTATAGTTTTTTTTCAACTGGCAAACTCGTTCACGTTCCGTTGTGTTTTATGAGAATCGGAACTGATACCTGATATATAAAAAGTGAAACTTTTAAACAGATGGTTTCTTTTTAAAATTGAATGCACAGACAAATACTATAAGGGTTTAAAGTTATTGTTTCGTTTTCATGAACACTCTAAGTACATAGAATATAATAATAACTGTAATCTTACAAATGTTAATAAACAAGACAAATATTGTGTGCACAATCATTTTCATCATTGGAGTATAATTTATCTATAATTAGTAAGTACGTTTATAATTCTTTATATAATTTTACTACTGCACTATGCAGAACAACAGCACTGCAAAGAGAAGGAAAACTTGAAACAAGCCCTGTACCAACCCATCTGGCCATAGTGGTATAGTGGGCCAAAACCCTTTTTTCTAAGGAGAGGCTTAGTCCAGCAGTGGAATATTAGAAGCTGTTGATGATGATGATGATATTAACAAGATAAATTTCGTATGATGAGAACGATTATTTTCATCATCGATGATTTATCTATAATTATGTAAGTATTTAAAAATAAAAGTATGTTTATTTATGTATACGATGTCAATAGCTTTGTCTTCTATTACGTATTTGTGACAAAAACATCAGTTGCCACAATGTAGACTATTTGTCTCTGTCTAGCCCTTAAGGGTAAAAACGTGAGTGTATGTATTTGTGTATATAACTCACCGCCACTCTGCTCTCCTTAAGATCCAGCCTCATAGCGAGCGCCTCCCTCATGAACACGTCCGGGTAATGCGACGCGAGGAACGCCCTTTCCAGCTCCTCAAGTTGCCAGGAGTTGAAGTTTGTTCTAGATCGTCTTCTTTTACCGCTGTCACCGTCATCGTCGCATACGCCACCTGCAATGAACCAGAGGTAACGTTTAGACAGAGATACAATGTGTGGAAAACTCTCTATTTGTAAAATGTGAGAACGCTGTAACTAGTTCAGAAGTGCTGGATATTTTAAACATAGTTTTCTGTTCGAGAAATGAATGAAATGAATGAGAAAGAAATGTTAATATGACTGTGAGCGACCCTTGCTTCGGAACGGGCCGACTAGACCAGAGTGATGCCACTACCTCACAAAAAAACGGTGTTAAGCAATTATTTCGTTACTTTTCACCGAGTCCAGTCATTCCCCCTACTTAGGGGGGGGTGAACAGGCGGCAACGAACCTGATAGCCTTGATCTTTCCATAGGCTGTAGTCACTTAAAATCAAGAAACCTGTATGCTCATAACGCCAAAAAAAATATTTTTCGTCAGCATTATATCTTCAATTAAGTACTCGTACATTATATTGTATCATTTATCAAAACGTATCGTTATCTTACCATAAATAAAAAAAAATTGAAATAAGAAAATGCAAAGTCTAGACCTACTTTGTAATAATAGCTTTCATTAAAAATCATCTGAATGTGTGCTTTACCTATCATACCTCTTTTTTGTTGACGGGATGGAAAATCCCTTCGGATCCCTTGGGGATAGGCGCTCTACTCTAGAGAGGACCTGGGCTATGTGATTTCAGGTCTCCTCCAGATAGACGCTGCACCTGCAGTAGGTCTAGTTACCTACCGCCCTAATGGTCCTACGATCCCAATGGTCCCTACCAGCTGCGCTTGATTGAGCTTAGCTTGGCAGCGTGAGGAGGCCGATAGGGCACTCCGTAGAGGGCCATGGATCGTATCACCGCACAGTAGAGGCGGCGAACTTCCTCCCGCGGACCCCATAGATTAGGCAACAGCCTCTATAGAGAGCCCGCCAGTACCTACCATACCTAGCATAAGAAAACTACCTTTAAATGTTTTTTTCTTTTGCCGGTCTATTTGCTTCGGTTAATCATCTACAACTAGTAAACTAATTTCCGTACTTTCACATACTGATAGCTGAAGTATATATAATTAGTGGAGTAAATTAGTGTGATTTTGATTCAGAATACTAACTAGGATTCTTCAAAACAAATGTAAATATTTACAGACGGGCAAAGCCGTGGGTTCACTGTTTCATGCAGTTTGTGCCAAATGTTAGAAAACTCGTTCATATTTTTCGAGATATGTAAGTGCTATTTGCCTCTTTCAAGATATGGAGATACTCAAGGTACACATAATACTTGTAAAACTTGTACTTTATAGTTAAATAATAAACCGTTTACTTAAATTGCATTTGTGATTGCGGTAGATACGTAGCTAAATTACAAATGGTAATGAAGATACTTGGTATATATATTTAATTGACATGTAATGGAGCTTTCATCTTCACAATTACAGATGTAGATAGCTCAGAAGGAGCTAACTCGCTTTATCGTTAAACTAAAATGAGCGAACTTCAAACATATCCAATCATCAGGCTAGCAGGATTGAAATGAACAAGATATAATCGTAAAAGATACCAAGCACAGGAACAAACTCCATTCAACCAATTCCTCCGCAGTTAAAACAAAAGCCGCGACCGGGGGCTCATAAAAAAGAGATAATCTACTACAAAGCGTCAGAGCAAGTTTTTGAAAATAGAATATAATTTCTAATTTTCTCCCAGTGATTTTAATTAAAAATGGTCCCGGGAGAACGGGACGGCTGTACGATCGTAGCCCCAGGTTGGAAAGGGACAGCTATAAATTACACGCTCGGTCCTCGGAGGGGCTAAATAAATTAGAAGTGATTAAGAGGAACGCGCTTCTGTTGTGCGTTGAATGTATTGTTGTTTTGTTACTTTGATAATTTGATAGAACACCTTTTAACTATAATTAAGACGAAGGCCTAAATTTTATTTCGCAGAGTACCTATATGATTGAGAGGTTTTATTCCAAGTATAGAATATCAATATATAATCAATCAAACCAATTGATTACGACAACCAACGAGCCCAGGAAGTGTTGTAATTATAGTCTTTATAAAGTTATTGCCCATCGCCTCGACAAGAACATAATGTTTTCAATTAATACAGAAATCACTTGCCGTTAGATTAATTTAGTTGTTTTTAGTTGTCAGACGGCCGATACGTTACGTTGTCGCCTTAAGAGGAAAGGCTAAATTACATGCGTGCGAGCGAGAGCGATATACGGTCCTAATGAGAGGAGTGAGGGAGAGGTTTTCGGTTATTGTATTAAAACAAACGAGCGCCTTGGGCCCACAGACAACAGTTTTGGCGCGCTTTAATTTAGTCTGCTCAATGTTTTAATGTCACAAGGGAGGGGAGCAGGGGGGACTTACTAAGTATCTATTTGAGGGTTGTATAACGCGGTTTATAAATTCGTACAGTTAATAATTCAGCTTTCGTTCTGTTGTTTTGTTTCTATGACAAACACATGATTTATTGTGTCGATTTTTATTGTCCGACATTTTGACTGCTCTTTGGTCCAAGGTTTTTTAACACGCTGTTATTAGCTTGGTATGTATGTACATATCCATGTATGTAACGGAATCTTCGAACGTGATTTTGACTTAGTTCAAAACGTCGAATTTTAATAGTTTGTCTCATTACCCTGATCAGGACCTTCAGGATTAACGGCTTTTTCCATACCTAAAAATACGGTAGTGTCTTTTGCCACGTACCTACCTACTATGGCGTGTGCTGAAGCATACGTGATAAACTTACTTGGTACTTTTTTAGTCTTAATTAGATAATAATCAGCATTAATGACTAAAAAAAGGAAAAATTAATTATCGTTTAAAAAAACACGATTTTCAAACAGCTAGCCGAACTAAAAAGTAGGAAATAATTTTATATAATAATAAAATTTTCTTAAAGAAAAATCATTTTCAATCGTAAATAAGTGTGGAGTGCAGCGAATATCATAACTTTATTTTTATCCATATCTGTCAGTAAAATATTTTTACAACAATTAAGATCGAGCACCACAGGCTTTTATTTAAATAGCGATCTAGCAAAGACCGCATCATACTATGTCTACCTACAATATTAATAAAACAAGGAACATCAAAAGGTAAACTGTAACTACTTTCAGTATAAAAATAAGGACATAAATAGATGTAGATGCCATTTCAAAGACAATATTTTTATTTTATTCATAGAGAGGCTATCGGCGCACGACATCGTATACCAGAAATAAATGCTTCTAGGTACTTATTCAATAAATGCGATTTTATTAGTGATGCCTTTTATGTTTCTATTACGGTAAGGGGGAATTGATACTCTATGACACAGTCCTTTGTATTACAGATATAATTTATTGCTTATATTTGACAAGATTTTTATCTTTATTTGTGTTTCTTCTGATTGCATTTTCTTTTATTTATATGTACTAACTCGTATGAGAGATTTTGTTGAATATTCAGTTTTTGGACTCATAATCAAAAACTAATATTAGTTAGGTACTTGATGTAACTGCGCTAATTATAGCCTTGATTCAGATTGGATTTACACATTACATCGAGACGATTTTAGAGGGGACCTGTCGGGTATGCGAGTTGGTAATGCAAATCCCTAAAAAAGTATTGTTTTTATTAATTTGTTCGAAATAAATAATCATAGTGCAGCTAGCGTCAAACTTTCCTCGCCAGAAATACAGCTCGACCAGAGTGATGCCATGGCCTCACAAAAAATCGGTGTTAAATAATTTTTTTCAGGTTACCGGAGGTCCGATCCCACATCTCTCCCGTATACCTATCTGGGGAGGAGTACCCAGGGCGGCACACGCCTGTACCTCTTGGGTTGAAAGTAACCAGGGGCGGCGGTAGTCACTTTCCATCAAGTGACCCATCTGCTTGTTTGCATAAAAAACGGAGTGAGGGTCTATGGGCCCAGGGTCAGAACGAAGTTCCTTCCGCTATATGATAGACGTTTGCTTTAGTGTCGGAAATAACTCACAGTTACACAGTTTTCGGTCTCCCATTCGCTCCGATCGTGTAACGTGCGATAACTAGCTTAGTTTAAAAAAAAAAAACACTGCTACTTTTTTTTTTATAATACTTCAAAGCTGGCGCCATTACAGTGCCACAGTTTGCCATTATTATTATACACAATTAGTTTTATAATTAATTAATTCAATAAGTATGTTATACAACCCACAGCAGAAGTATTTTCCATAAAAAAAAACAACCTATTAATTAAACAGGAAAATCACTAAAGAGAAATTACACAAGAATATGACGACACCGCACAAACCAAGGCGTGCCTGAGCTTCAATCAAAAGATTGGCCATATTACTTTTTAATTTTATTATTCCAAGAATCAATTGTATCCCAGCAAGGGCCGTACTCGGGTGTAAAATTTACCGGCAATAACGTACCGTTCAAACGACATAATGCCATGACGCACAACTCAATTCAATGCTATAAAACAAGTCGATAATTTCTTACTTAAAAAATTTCGCACTAATAAGTACGAGTACTATAAAGAATTTTCGGAAATCGAATTTAAATAGTTACGATTCTCTCGTCTTCCGTGAAAGTGTGAGGAGATTGAAGTCAGCCTTAAGAGTTAATTGGTTAAGTTGTGTGTAATGACTGGGTTTGCAGCGATTTGGATGAAGTTATTGCATTTATAAATGAGTGAGGTGAGTTTCAAGGCATATTGTAATTTTTTGGGGTCCGCCAGTCCGCTATAAAAGCTAGTTAAGAATCACGTAAGATACATGCGTGGGAAGTAGCGTTGTTTTATTAGGAGATGCATTTTTCTCGTCAGAGGGTTAAATTAAGGAATAATACGACGTCCTTTAACTATGAAAATATGAAAAATTGATTACGATCCATAACAGCTCTTTCAAATATTTGGATGTAATGTCGACTAAATAATCAAAACAATTTTTTATATTTCTATCTTTATTTTTTTACGAATTGTTCTTATTGGTCTAGGAGATATGATAGTAGGAATACTTTTTTTTGAGAATTTTCGCTATGCA